GAAGTTCTTTTCATTTCGTTATACATTCATTAATTGTCAATCGTTAATTTCTAGTGACCCAACCGTGCAAGTACTGCCTCGTCTAACAAACCGGGTCATTTCGGTTGATGATTCATACAACTATACAACCGTGTAGTGCCGGTGTAAGAATATCCACTATCTCAAATCGTCCCGTGGGAGTCGTAAGAGGCGACTGAGGGAAACTTGCGCTACCATCCACATCATCTGGATGCTTGGCGATCCCCTATTGACCGATTTACTAAGAGTTTTCTTTATCGCACAACTACTTTGTGGAATCATTTATCAACGGCGATTTTTCCGGAACGATACGTCATAGGGACCTTCAAGAAACGAGCGCACTCCCTTTTTAAAAGGTCCGCAAAAAATTGGGCGGCGATCGACACTTTCTATCAGGTGGCCCCATGGTTGTATGCCCCTTTTGCTATAAAAAAATAAAACAGATGATGAGCAGCAACATCTTCTTAATAACAACTCAAAATCCCTCTTTGTGGGGAATCTATGGGAGAGACCTATGGTAAGCAGTACACTTTAATAGGCTATAATGAAAGGATTAATATAACTCTTTGTGAGTTTCATTACAATACGATCTGTGGGACCTGCTTCGTTCGATTCGGTTTTTGAATTTCGAAAGCTGAACATTTCATCAATCATAATAAAAATTGTTTCAGTTTTTATATTTATTGCATAATGTTCTGAGCTTTTATACTGCATTTTACGTATTAACATTTAAAACTAACTAAATAATAATTAGTCGGATCATAAGTTCTGTCAAATGTATGTAATGTAAATATTATTTAGAAATTTTGAATACTGGCTAGATGAACTTCATCAATTTTAAAAATATAACGTTTGCGCTTGCCGAAAATAAAAAGACATAATTTTCATTCATTTCAAAATATGGAGTGGTCGAAGAAAGAATATAGAGTAGCGGTTATCGTGTTGCACCGCTGTGGTTACGCGCCAAAAGAGATTTTCAATATTCTACAAAAATAGAAAATAACCCTAAGATTTGTTTATCGCACTATCAAACGATTCACTGAAGATTAAAGCTTCGAAGATTGTAAGAGGACCGGCGGACCTCGTACAGTTAGGACACTCGCGATATCAAAGCAGTGAAGGCGCAATTCCAACTAAATCCTGTTCGTAAACAAAAATCTTAGCTCTTCAGATGGGACTAAGCAGAACCACGGTCAAAAGAGTGATCGGTGAATATTTAGGACTACGAGCTTATCGTAAAAAAGACCGGACATTTTTTGAACGAGCGTTTGTTAAATGTAAATGAAGTATGGGGGGTTCCTCAACAGATGGAGTAATAACCTGGTAATATATGCAAGAAGCCCATGGACGCATGTTGCTAATGCCTTTGCGGCATTCCTATGAGGTAATGTAATTAAAACCACTAAATAATGTCCTCCATCTTCTTAACTCCGGGCTGCTACTGAGAATTTCTTGACAGAGAAACCCACTAACTGATTTTTGTCCAACCCGTGATCTAAACCCAGGACCATTAGACCAACGAGGCAGTCGAAAATCCATTAAAATAGAAGTACTAAAATAAATGTACAATCCGTGAACAGAAAAGATAATTGCCGAATAATGTCCTCTCATGCAAAATAATCGCATATAACCACATCGTCTCTTACGTCGAAACAATCACTATTATCAAAGCAAAACTACGTTAACGTGCCTTCAAAGAAAAAAGCATTGGTTCGCAACTGGAACACTTTCAAAGCCACAATGGTACCCACACAAAAGTATCTAGCGACGTAATACACTGTGATTGAGAGAAATAATAATGGCAACGATAGATTTGCTTTGTGTAGTCATTTACGTATACATGTCCGTGCGCGTGGAATTCATTACGATTGAAGTTAATAGGTGTTTTTGGCGCGGAACCCTAATTATTTTTCTAAAATAAAAGTAGCCTAAATTACTCCTTATAACATTATCTATTTGTCAGTGAAAGTCCCGCAAAAGTCGGTCTTGTAGATTCGGAAATTATCTGGAACAAATAAACAGACAGACTGACGGGACAAATTTTAAAAATTGTTGTTTTGTTATAAGTACCGTATATACTTTCATATGCATTTAGTAAAAAGCTGAAATTACAAACAGACAGTTCAATTTTATTTATTTGTATAGATAATAATGTTTTCGTATGTTTACGCGAATACCTATTAAAATCCACTACTGACGTGATGTAACGTGATGTAGCTAAAACTGGCCGCCGAAAGATTATTTTCTAATTTTGGTAAAATCTAAGCGGAGTGATGATGATAAGTTTACTGTATTTTCATATAGATTAAGAATCACAAGTGGGCACACAGTTCCCCACAATATTTATCGTTGTTGTGACCCTTAGACGTCTACATTTACTTACTCCCGATGATTAGGAATTAAAATATAAATGCGATTTCACCGCTTAGGTCTTATATGGAATGCCTCATTTCCAGTTAGAAGAGTCTTGGATCATCTACACTCACCATACGAAACACAGCAGCATTTACCTGCAATTTTACGCTGATATTCTATGAGAGCGTGGTCATTCCCTAGTGAAGTCCAACCATTATATATGTGCAACATGGTTCTACTACGTTAAAATATTTAACACCATAATATGCGGTTTTTTTTTTCATACCAATCATCTATATGTTGCTTTTCCACGTATTGGTTTTCGACGTCAGGGGAGGTAAAAAAATTAAAAAAATATCAATAACTTTTCCTCCTGACCTCAAAACTTCAGTATAAAGATATCATCCTATGGTAATTCTTATCATGTATTATTTTGCAGCCATATTACGTAAACTACTTATAGATAGAATATTTCAAAGATAATCATCAGTGGATTCTCCAAAACAAGCTGCAATGCAATAAGAAATCAAGAATAATTAATAAAAAGAATAAATAAATAGAAATCTTGACAGTCTAGAAATTTGTCATTTGACAACCTGACGTCGTGCAACGTACACAGTCACAGATAACTATATACTAGTCAGAGACAGATAGGACAGTTCTTTAGTTGACGGTTAGTTCCAATAAATTCGCAAAGCGCTAGTGTCGTATAGTGATGTAAACTAGGTCTAATATTCTAGTACCGATATCGATAGTTTAGGGATGTACAGGTAAAAGATCGATATGCTTGGACCACTTTCTTATTTTAAAATACTTATTTACAAAATTGAAGATTAGAATAAAACAACATCTCAAATTTTATTATTTTTATTTTTCAATCTTTGGGATTTAAATTTATTAAAAGCCATTTGTTGGGGTGCACACATTTGTTTAACAAGTTTTTCTTGCACACCCCCTTTCAAAATTTTATTAAAAATATTACACCAATTATGGATATGAATTCGTAAAATTAAATTAAGGAATGTTTTTGTTACGATTTCTTTGTGATTTTCACACCCTAGCCAACTAAAATCATACTTTTGAAGTATTAATTGTTTTAAAAGCTTTTTCAAGCATTTTTTGTGGGCGTTGTTATTTAAATAATCATGTATAAGGCCAGAGATATCCCTATACAAAAATAGAAAGTTTTTTGATGGGTAATTTAAATTACTCTTTTTTAAAAGATTGTACTCTCGTTGCTCGATCCATTTATGGAATACAGCTTTATTTTTTTCAATGTATGTATCAGAGCATTTCTTACAATCAATTTTTTTTGTCAATCTTCTGCATATGTAGCCTGCTGTATATGCAGAAGAGTGCACGCGCAATCTTTCATTTGTTGCATTTATGGCTTGGTTGCTGCTGCCACTCTTGTTATAACTTTTTTGGACCAATGTTATGGGTGGAACATTTTCTTTATCCTCATCAGTTACTGTCGCATTTTGATTGTAGTTCGATATTAGTTTAATAAAATCTACCACCGTGTCTCCTCCATCATCCTCACAATTTGCATAAATTGAATGTGGACCCATAACATTGGACATTAACAAGGATTTGAAAGAATTTTTAAAAGTGTTTGCATCAGGATTGATGTTCCTATAGTTGATTGCTCTTATTCTGCCAAAAAAATTTTCTAAAGAGTCCTGATTAATATTTCTGGGATAAAAATAAAGTATTCCATATTTTTCGAACAACAATTTAGATATTCTTTCAAAACTTTAAAATGATGTAATCCATCCATCAAGAGAAGGAACTCTGACTGTAAATTTTATATTTTTTTCGCTCTCTTACTTTTTTCTTCAATAAATCTAATATTTTTCAATATATCTTTAGCTTCTTGCCAAAAATTAAAATGCTTGCTGTTTGGTTTTATAGGCCCTCGTAATTTTCCCTTGACAGTACTCCCCCGAGACCCATTTACACTATCAAAAAGTTTATCGATGAAATCTACAGCTTCCCCGGTAGTGGCCATTGTCGTGCTGACATTTTCGCCCATCATAGTAGTTTCTGAAATAATACATAGATATATTAAAGAGATGCGTGACAAGTATTATTAAGATAGTATATATTGATAATAAAGGTTTTAAAAACTTACTAAATAATGCAAATCATTGCACTAGTTGTTTTAATCGAAGTTTGGGCAGCTACGCTAACATTCATTTTTTTAATTCGTTCTGCATAAATGTGGTGATCTGTCAACTTTTTGTTCATTCTTGTATGACCTAATTGGCAATCAGCATTGTACACAGTTAATATATCGTTCCAAGTGGCAACTTTTCCTTTAAATAACATATCTTTGGTGAGTAGGTTGTTTCGCAGGCTTTTGAGCAAATGTGGTGGATCATACACAATATTTAACTTTTGACTTGATATCTCAACAGTTCCATCTGTAAAGAAAACATTCTATTTTGATTGTTGGAATCTAAACAATGGCATAGACAAAGTGTGTAAAGGTGGAAATACATAGACAGCTCAATAATATAGAAATCAAATTTGTCAAAGTGGCTGTCAAAGTAGCTTTTTGGCTATTACATCTTGGAATTGCACAATTGTAAGGCTGCCGCAATAAATAAATAAATAGAGTTCATTTACTTACCATTATATTTTCCATTTAAATTTCTTCTGTGTGTGGTGTCCTTTTTTAACATGGTTATAGCCATTCTAAATGTAGTTCCTTGATCACATACAAGGGCTAAAGGAATCAAGCCAGACTGTGAGACTTCAGTGATGATGTCTTTAAAAATCCGTACAACTACAGCAGCAGCAGTTGTTCCTTCACAAAAATAGTAGGCAATAGGCTGTCGCCAGTTTGAACACACACCTTTCAGCATAAAAACTAAGGCATGATCGCATAATTTAAATTCTTTTTCATTTCCAAAATCTTTAAAACCTATGATTTCATCTTGTGACTCGTCATAAGTGAGATGAGATGTGAGAGCCACCTCATCAAACAAAACAGAGCATAATTTCTTCTTCGTGTCCCATTTTTTAACTTTGTGCTTTAATAGCTCAAAAATATTATCATTTAAGCCCACATTAAATTTGATGTTTTCAGCAAGGCGGTTCAATGTTCTTTTAGTAGGCAAATTAAAAATTTTTTGCAAAAGTCTGTATCCTTTGGGGCTTTCCTTCATTAGGGACAGTGACAAGAGCTTTTCATTTGTAGTGTACCTCATTGCTTTCTTCTTTTTACTTGCCATTTTCAACTGCATTAGAAGAAAATCTTGTGCCTGTTGCGTCATTTTGCCAAAACTTTTATTAAATAATAGGTTATGGCTTAGAATTTTAGCAGCATCAAATCTTTCTGAAAATGGCTTTTCAAGCTTATTTTCTTTGACAGCAATATTTTTCATTCTTCTTATGAAGCATCTGCAGTCTTTGGTCAGTTTATTGGCTGTAAAAAGATAATAAAAAATTATATTATTTAGTTCATCAATTGATATTATAGGCTTTTAATGAAAGGTAAAAAAGGTAATTAGTTAAGCTATCTACATACATATAATAAAAATGTTAATTGCAGGTGCCTGAACATAGTATATTCCAATGATAAATTTTTTTGATAGGGACTTAAAATAAGTAAATAAATTTCTATCAACTATTTTCAAATTAATTATTCTTTTATGAGTAACATTTAGTCTTATGTTATGAAAATCAGTTTATTCTATCAAGTTATGATTAGTACTTTGAAGTATAGGTATGAATATGTTTAAAGGTGTTGATTCGTTAAGTGCATTTCAACCTTATCTTAGAAATTGTAATTAATTAATATGAATGAATGTTCTATAATGAAATCCTTATAGCTAAAACTAAGTAAACAAAAAATAACATGTTTTCTCACAAATATTATCATAATACCATCATAATAAATAATATGAAAAACTATAACAGTTCACTAGTGTTATCAATAGATGGTGTTGTGTGTGTGCAAATGTAATACAAAAAGGTGTGCTCTAATTGTCTTCATAATTATTGCTGATTGTAACATTAATCATAGGTGGAATGACTCATACGGTAATAAAAATGTTTTTTGAAGTTCTTTATGTATTTCGTAAAATTTTGATGCCGAGCTAGAATGTCGATCAAATCAAAGATTTAAGTTGTCGCTCTTTTTAAAATAATGTCTATCATAAGAACAAAAATTAAGATGTTCTAATTCAATTAAAAAGTAACCACCATATTTCTGAGTGTTTATTGTAACGTTTATTGTAATGAAACACCTATGATAATAAACAACACAACTAGCAGGAGCAGATATAAAGTTGTCATTACTTTATGACCAAAAGTTGTCAAAAAAAACTAGAACTACTCTTCTTCGTCATCATCATCAGCCTGTAAAAGTCTACTGCAAAACATGCACTTCTCCCAATGTGAGGGTAATTTGCCATATATCTCACAATTGGTAGGAAGATGCCTGTAGATAAACTACTAACAAAGATTCTATGCGATAGCTAGTTAGTGCATATTATTCTATAACTAGCTCTTATGAGGTATGTGTTACAAAATACTTTAACTCCACACTTAATTCTTTTTTGGTGAATTTCTTTTTTGATTTTGCTCAACATTGCGAATCACATCTGAAATTAGTAAAAAAATGTCATATAATAGTCAATTTTATTGTCTGTCTTAAATTTATTTGCAACTGCTGATTATGAGGTGCCTGGTTTTATGGGTGAGATTATAAAAATATGTTAAAAATGAAATAAAAGATATAAAAATACCTCTTGATTCTGCCTTTGATGATGCAATAGAGAGGTTTGGCACAATTTCTACAGGTTTCGTTATTTGTAGTGTGTCAGTAACACATGTGTGTCCTAAAAACAGAATGAAATCATCAAGAAAAAATAAGATAGACATTTTAAAGATCAAAAGCCGTCACATAAGCTTTCTTCTGCAACTTTGTGTGGATTATATAGGCAAACTCAACTTGGTTTCTAAAACTCATTGTAAAAAAAAACCCACACCTCCTGTTACCATTGTGTTCCTAAAAATATATATCTGCATAGCCAAGTTAAATTGCGTGAGGTTTACATGAGACTACTGAACATGAGGTATTCTAACTATTAATAAACATATAAAATTAAATACATAGTTATTATTGTTACCTACCATCAGTTTTAGAATTTTTAGGTTCTTCAATTGGTGGCCCCTTTTCAACATTACATTCTAAAACATAATTATGATCACTAATGTGGTCTTGTGCTGAAAAAAAAAATTAATTTAACTAAGAATATACTTTAACAGTGGGAAATTAGTTATTAAGTACTCAAAGCGGGTTGGCTAAAGAATCCGGTACTTGATTTTGATAATGTTTCTAGTCTAGGAGGCTTGTTAGGGTTAAGCTTGAACCCATTACACTGTTTTTAGATGGCGGAAATGTGTTTTGAATTAATTAAGATAAAAACAAATTTCACTAAAAATTGTGTAATAACGAAAAGCAAATATGTCAATTTGTTCTCGTATTATGAGGTAGATGTCTGTTACTTGATTTTTAATTTTTAATGTTGTAATATTATTCATAAACTATACATTTCCGCAACGGGGGAAGGGTAGGGAGTGCTTTCTACGAGTCTCCCCCTCCCCTCCCAATACTACGGCCACTGCAGAAGTAACTTTTTGTCAATATTCCTGTATAAAAAGTGAGGTTATAAATTTACAAAAAAACATTACTCATAAACTACACATTTCCGCAACAGGAGAAGGGTAGGGGCGGTTTCCCATGGCCCCTCCCCTCCCCCCTCCCAACACCGTACGCGAGTACCGAACGTCTATAGTTTAACCCTCAATGCAATAGTTATAAGAAATGTTAGTCTTAAAAAGACAGAAATTACTTCTATATAAAAATAATGTTATTCACACTCACAGTTGATTATGGTATTAGTAGTGAAATCATTTGAATCTTCTAGGACAGCTATTGGTAAACCATAGTTGTGATCACTCAGAGCGTGGGCAGCTAGAAAAAAATACACAAAGTTAGTAAAGTTTATTCGGCTTATCAACTAACAGCACATTAAAACATTGTAATTGATATGTCAGTAACACAAATATCTATTACTTAAAATCAACTTACTTGAAGAGTCCAAGGGAATACCGTGCATCATTTCCCTTGCAGTAAATAAGCAGGGATAGCCATGCGCAAGACGGTTACCCACACCGTCGAACTGCTGTCTGTCGAAGTGCTTTTGGCACACATATCTATTTAACAATTGTTCCTTAGACAAACCGCTGAGCTTAATATTAACAGGCACCAAGAAAGACAACCACAATTCCCGTAATTTATCGTCCTTTGGAAAGTTAAAAAGGCGATGAGTTTTGTTGTTGGCATTGCAACCTACAACACAACACTTCCGCAATTTCGACATCGTGTAGCGTTCTACGTCAGACACACTCACAATCACTGATTGGGTAAGGAAGCAGGTGGACTTTGAGATCTCGACTCAAGGTATAAACCGAGGAGAAAGCAAAATATACCGGCAGACTTCAACTCACACAATACAATTGACTGTTAGGATTTGTTTGACTGACATTTGACTGACATTGACATTGGTAACAACAAGATGGCGCAAACAAGTAAATGCGACACTAGCGCATACTAAATGGAATGGAACTAAAGCTGTCCTGGGCCTGGTACACAGTTACAAGCAAATGGACGTGGACACAGTGATCCCAATACTGACGAGAATGAAGCTCGCGGAGCCTGGATACGGACTGTGTCAATTAACGTGACAAACCTGTGACAGCGGAATGACGTTACATGAGAGGCTCTAAATCTAAACGTTTGGCTCTCATACAGCGTGAAATTGTCAAATTCTGATCTACAACACGTTAGAAGAATAAATTTAGAACACAGATTATGTAAGTTTGAAGCATTTAAATTATTCTGAGCGTTGTCAACAATTCCATAGGACGTGAACAATTGATTTTGATTCCCGATGGCACTGCTGAAATTTTTAAGCGTACTATTAAGATTTACTCTGTCATTGTGATCTAACATGTCCATAGTGGTTACGGAAAAAATGTAACGTAATCTTAACCGATATGTTTTAAAACGTAATAGAAATGATTATAATAATTTAATTCAATATAGATTACAAGTATACCGTATCGTAAAGTGGTTATAGTAGCGTAGTGTTGCGGAAATCGAACCAAAACTTAATATTTAAAAAACTGAAGTGAGCCGAACCACAGTTAGTCCATCGGACTTTGGGACATTGATTGCATATTGGCACGTCAAACATCTCAGTCAAAACCTCCCTCCCCCACCCACCCACTGCGACCATAGTTGCTGTAAAGCACCCGAAACGTCTGAAATTAAAAATAAAAGTTAATTTAACGCGAAAAATCCGTATAGAGTTTTATTCAAGGTGTAATATTCATGTAATAAGAAATCTTTAAAATAGTTATTTTAATAGTATAATAATCTGTCGGCGCGTCTATAAAATACCGGTTGGGTCGAGAGTGAGCGATAGGTTGCATCACTCTAGCGGAGTGTAATATAGATGGTGACGGCGTAGAATTGAGGGTATATCGAGAAACCGTACAATGAATGTCATACTGCGCAAATAAGTGGGTTGTTTGCGCAGTATGACGTTCATTGTAGGCGTCATGCGCAAAATATTCCGCTAAAGTTATTCTACGAATGAAATCATTCCACGAGTAATATTTTAGAGTCAGGGATCTGTCTACTATAGTGGTTTTTCTGGTCCAAGATAGTGTTGCTAAGAGGCTGCCCAGTATTACCTTGAGATAGGTATTGTTTCTGTTGGATTACATACTTTGTTGTTATGATGAAGTTTGTCCTTTACGTTACACCAGTGCGTGATTGTGACGGGGACACATTGCGATATGGTCCAACCGTAATGGATCCGCGAGACGATCAAGTGCATTTGACAAGTCTACGTGCTTGACGATTTCACTTGACGAGGGACTTGACGCGACTTGAAGGTGCCGTCATGTCCACATGCCGCAGTCGTTCACCGCCCTGTGCTCAGTAAAGTGGTCGTCGTAAAAATTAATAATGGTTTCCAACGCAGACAAGGCATTCATTGCTATAACTCTAGCGGTATCTATCACAGAAAAAGAGAAAAGAAAGAGGCGATGGTGTAAGGAATGGTATAAAATAAGATATCGATTCACTCATGAACATTTGCAAAGAACTCTTCAAGCAACTGAGCCCGACAATTATAATAATTTTCTACGAATGGACAACGATTCTTTTGAAACATTGTTGGAGTTGATTCGACGCAATATTGAAAAGCAAGATACCAATATGCGACAAGCTATTCCTGCCAGCCAAAGGCTCTCTATAACTCTAAGGTACTTGGTCACTGGTATGGACTTGGAGGATTTATCGTTTATATGTGCTGTCGCTCCTCGTACTTTGGATTTAATAATACAGGAGACGTGTGAGGCTATAATTCAAAAGTTAAAAGAAAATATTCGGGTATGTATTATATTCATTTATTTTCATTTATCTTAACCAAAATAATCATAACAAAAATTAAATACTTAATGTGATGGTGAAATATGAGACAGACAAAACAGAAAACTTTTTATTGGTTTCTTTTATTTTATCTTGTATGGCTCGGTTGTGCAACCGATTCATACCCAAAAAGTTCTCAGTTTGGTCTATAGAAGTTACTAAAAAGAATAAAAGTGTTGTAAGAACTTAGCCGCAGTCTGTGATTCTTCGTCTTCAGTAATTGGTTCTGGTATATGAATTACGGGCTGTTCATGAGGTACACTTGGCGCCTGCATAGGTTGAGATGGCACAGTTATGAGTGATTTGGCAGTACCATGCACCGGTGTCTTGCCTATGACTTGTGAGTGTGACTGATGTGGTGCGGGTGATTGGTATGTCGTAGTTGAGTGGAGTGTGATGGCACAGGTGATGGTGACTCATGTGGTGCGGGTGACTGGTATATCGTAGTTGAGGGGAGTGCATTTGGTGATGGCACAAGTGATGATGACTGATGTGGTGCGGGTGAGTGATATGTGGTTGTTGAGTGGAGTGCATTTGGTGATGGCACAGGTGATGGTGACTGATGTGATGCGGGTGACCGGTATGAGTATGTGTATGTGGGTGAGCTAGCAGGCAAGATCTGAACTCCGTTTCTTGTAGTGATCCCATTTCGGCTTCGAATAAAATGTCATTTATTATTTTCTCCGCATAGCGTCTTTGATCTGCTGATAAACGTTTGAGTTTAAGAGCCCAGCCCTTCGCAATTATATCGATTCAGAGTCATCAGGTTTTTTGAAATAATGTGATGCTATATCTATCAGGTAAGGTTGTGGCATCTCTTTTTGATAATTGGATGACCCGGAAGCCTGTAAAAAAATTAACCAATGTTTGTACTATTCACAGGTACCGAGAACGACCGAGAAAAAAGTAGCCATCAAACCTTTCCCAACTGTATAGGTACTTATAAGCACATCGAAATAGAAAATCCTTCAAATTCTGGATCTTACTATTTTAACTATAAAAAGACATTTAGTATTGTTCTTATGGCTATTTTAAACACCAATTATCAATTTATGATGGTTAATGTTGGTGCAAATGGGCGGATGTCAGATGGTTGAACTTTTTGTTTTCTGAAAGTGAAAACAAACTTAATATTCCGGAGCCATGTGAGTTACTAGAAAGCGATAAAAAGTTTCCGTTTGTACTGGTAGATGACGAAGCTTTCCAATTGACTCCAAACTTCATGAAGCCATACAACAAATACGTATTGACAGACGAAAGATGGATTTTCAACTATAGATTGTCAAGGGTCACGAGGGTGTTTGAAAATGCTTTTGGCATCCTGTCTTGGCGATTCAAAATATTTAGAAAAGACATTGGACTGCATCCCGATAAAACGCGAAAGGTTTTTTTTGGCTGCCTTACACAACTATTTGTGTGAAAAAAAAATAAAAACAAATATATTCAACCAGGAGATATTGACATAGAAGAACCAAATACCACAGTCACAAGCGGTGCGTGGAGACAAGGACGCCAATTGTTAAATATAGAGCGAGTACGAAGAAACTCGGCAAATGAGGCAAAAAAGAGTGAGATATGACTTTTGTGAGTACTTTAATGGTAATGGTTGAGTCCCTTGGCAAAATAATTGCCTAATTTAGTTATTTAAAACATACTTAAAAGTAAAATGTATCTTTGAATTGTAAATAAAAAATGTTTTATCTCACTGCTTAAACTGCTTTCAGTATCACTTATACACATTTGGTCTGACAGAAATAACAGTTAATTGTAATAGTAGAGTGACGGTTTTGGTACATCATCGGGAGACGCGCCAGACCGTTGTGCTTGTTCAATCTTTTTTCTTTCTTTGTTGAAGTTGGTTCTTAATGCATTAATTTTTTTTCTTCAATAAATCTTCGGTGTAGGCAGGTTTATATACTCGAAGTGCTTTGACTATGGTTGATAAATCAAGCGACCTTTTGTTTTTATCCGCATACTCCTTACTTTTAATTTTCCACAATGCAGGATAATCTCTGTAGAGAGATATTAATAATAACACAAAATCACGCTCGGTAATTAGGTCGGCGCTTGCCGCCAAAGCCACGTGTCGGTCCGGTTCGTCGTCCGCCATCTTCGATGTTCCGGCCGCAAATGAATAAAACTTGTCAAGTCGCATCAAGTCGCATCAAGCGCAAGGTGGTTCAAGTGCCGTCAATCAAAATTTTTGTCAAGTATGGTTCAGCCCGTAGATACTTGACGGGACTTGTCAAGCCAACGCTGTAAACGATCAATATTCACATCAAGCACGTAGACGTTTCAAGTGCACTTGATCGTCTCGCGTACCCATTAGGCTGTTTTATTATTGATTGTGATTAATTTTGTAAGCAGATGAGCAAAATGAGCAAGTTAAACATCTGCTCTCACACTTTTACTATTTTTAACAATTTACCTTTCCTGATGTATTTCCGTCATCAGAAGTGAGAATTCCTGTTGTAACTCCTATAAACAATTTTTATACAGTTTTATTTAAAAAAATAAACTTAGTAAAGAGAGAACTTGTTTATTTACTGGGACTGGAATATTATTTGATGTCTGAAGTACACGCATGGGCGCAGTAAGTGTATATCTTTATGTATGTACACACATTTGAAATACATGCTCATATTTTCCATATGTGTAAAAATAATTCAAAGCTTACAGTTACTTTCTTATAAAACTAAAGTGACGGTAGACGGCAACAGCGACAACAGCCCATACAAACCTACAGCTAGCTTCAAAGAAGGCTACAAATTCGATTTTATCTAAAAGCTGAGAATAAATACTTGGTAGCCTATAACTATACTACAAAAGTGCAAGCACTACCATTTGCCGGCAGAAGTATATAATACGGCGATACCAACC